ATAAACACATGAAAAGACCTAGGTTTACAATTTATGATTAAAACTCTACTATCTACACAATATACATAGACATAAAATGTAAAAACTTAAATATCTTAGAAACAGTAGCCAATCAGTTGTTTTAATGGTCATATTTGAATTCAGCACATCAAAATACATAATAAATAGCACATTTTATCTCTGAAGCAGACGACTTCTCAAAAACTGTAGACCAGTGTTATTCAAACAGATAAAAATGCCAGTGTTTACTATGCAGACAAGAAAAGTTACATTTGCTGTTCAGGAGTTAGAAAATTTTTGAACAAGGCATTTTAAGTTGTTAGTTCTCCTCTATTGGGGTAGGTAGCAGAGCAGTACCATGAGAGGAGTAGCACAGGAAGAAGGCAGACTTGAGACCTTTCAAAGTTTTGGCCCAAGCGAGGGGGCATGTAAGACAGGCATCTGTAAAAGCTACACAGAGGTTGAGTAGAATCCAGAGGTTGCTATTGTAGATTTGTAAGAATCAAATCTGCGTACTTTTTCAGCTGGCTTAACAAACATTTCTTGTCCTCTTCACTTAAGGATTCAATATAAATGCCTTCATTAGTCAACTTCTGGACTGAAGTCTTTGCTTCTTCCAGTACGTTGTCAATGGATTTCTCTCTAATTGATCCAAATGTAGCTTCAATTGCTGGACACAGATCAACTATTATTGTAGCAGATGTCTGGATGCCATTGTTTAATGACCCGAGTGGTTTTATTAATAGACTTACAAGAGAGAGAATTGTGATTGTCTTCTCTGAACTTGAAAGCAAAAGTAGTCCACCAGCCTGACTACTTATATCTGTCCCATCTTGGTAGAAACATTCTACAGCCAATAATAATGGTAGCAATAATTTTAAGACTACAGCCAAAGCTTGCTCATGAGAAAGCGAGTGGGTTTTCCCAGGTTGGACTAATTTGAACTTCAGTCCCAATGTATCTTTTATTTTTCCCCAAGATGTTCAGTCCTTTTGGACTCTTGCTGAAAAAAGCAAAAAGAAAAGAGTATAATGAAGACATTACATTTATAGCTTTTAAAATGTCTTTTGAAGATTCTACTGCTCGTACTATCCCTTGCTGGAGTAGATGGTCTCTGCAGTGTGGATAGGAGATATTAGGGTTACCCTACTTTTCTCTGAGGACAGCTTGTACTCCACCATGTCTTCCAGGGAAGTTTGCAGCTCTATCAAATGAACAAAGTCGTCTGTTTGGGTTCCAATTGGCGACCAGGACTGCATGCAGTATTCAAGATATGAGCATAGCATGGATTTATATAGTAAAAGTGGAGGAGCTTGGTTTGCCAGATTGATCAGCAAAGCCAATGCTGACAAACTATGTGAATGGGCTGCAAAACACCAATCCTCTGGACTGCATTGACATGCAAAAAGCCTTATAAGCCAGTCATTGGCAAAGCCAATTTTAGAAGTATTTAATGAGGCTGTTAAGAATGCTGGAGACAAACTCAGTTTACGCGAACAAACATGGGTATCACATCATACTTTCTCTTTAAGCAAGAGATACCACACACTACAAACTGGAGGCCAGTGTTAAGTGTATCCTGAAGTTGGACAGTGATTCCGAACAAGACCGGCAAATGCTCATTATCTTTCTGCAAGAAACTCAACTGACTGGTTAGAAGCATGGAGTGCAACAATGAAAGACTCAGCAGTTGAAAAAGTGAAGAACTTTCTCACCATATTCACCAAGGAACGTGGGGGGTTGGATGGGGCACGACCCCCTCGTGGGGTGAGGAGGAGGGAACCGGTTGTTAATATTTTGGCAGCTCATCACTGCAGCAGCAACTAGGGTGATCAGATGTCCCAATTTTATAGGGACAGTCCCATTTCGGGGGCTTTCTCTTCTACAGGTACCTATTACACCCCATCCCCTGTCCCGATTTTTCACACTTGCCCTCTGGTCACTCTAGCAGCAACGGAGCAGCAGGGACTTCCTTCCCCTTAAAGAAAATCCTTCAGCCAACAGCAGCCAGGGAACAGCCGGGCTGGGGCAGTCACAGGTGTGGATCTCCTTTACTCACCTCAGTCGCAACATTATCTCCCTGAGCCACGTTGTTCAAGTCCTGCCACATCAGTTCCAGAGAACCAGCTACATCCCCAGCAGCTTCTCCAGCTATCTTCACGGCTTCCCCACCACACTTGATTTTCCTCTTCTCAGGTGGCTTCTTCCAGGCTCCCAGATGCACACCCCCCCTCGCCCCCCAATGGACGAGTGGCCTGAGTCCCTTGGGGCCCGCAGTTCTCTGTTTACCCCGTACCTGGGCAAGGCAGGA